TTGAGTTTTTGTACTTGCTGGTGCGAGCATATAGTTTTCTATATAGGCTTCTGGTTTTACCTGATGAGATGCAAGGGGAGAGTTGCGAATGAAGAGAGTGGTGTGAGTTAAATAAAATGGATTTGGCCCATTTTTCACATGAGTCCATGTGCCTGTCGACCAGAATATTAACAAGCTGGTTAAGTGGCACGTTGCTTACCCTGCTGACAATCTTTAACATCCTGCGTAATATGTTATAGTCTTTCTTCAGAAGCCCGGAAAAAAACTAAGGGGGAACAATAGAGAATAATAGGCAGAATGCGAGAATTAACGAATTGTAGGAATAAGGGTTGGGTTATACCAGGATATTTTAACTTCGTGATTTAGAAGGTAAGACGGAATATTTTCTTAGAAATCGCCAAGATATGAGACGACCAGGAGAGATCAGCAGATAGAATGACACCTAGGTATTTAATTTCCGATTTGGTTTCTATTTCAGTGCCGTCTATGTTGCATACCTCGTAAGAGCCAAACAGTTTGTTTAGGTCGGATTTATGCCTAAAGGTGAAATTGAAGTCAGTTTCTCCATATAACTTTGATGTGTGCGGCATCGTCCCTTGTTCTTGATTTATTTTTAAATTGGGTAACAATTTGAAACGAGCGATTTTTTGCATAATGTTGTCAGCATTTTTATCGTACGCAACACCAGATGTGAAATAAACTGAATGCACATTGATACTGATTATTTTCAGGCAGATTTGTTTTGCTGCACCCACGTCAGCCAAGGCCCGCCACTTGTCACTGCATGGTTGGTCAGTTACAGTAAGTTGATTCATACGTAGAATGCTATATGTAAGCCATTTTAGATCACTGACAGTGCTTGCATAAGATGCTGTACAGCGTCTTGTTATGGTGACAGTAGATTTTATCAAAGATGCTGAGTCATTACTAGCCAAACCTTGAAGGATGATATATGAGTAATTGATTTCAGTTGTTTCTCAGATTCAGTCTAAATGTACATCTATACAACTTCTACTACAAGGCAAGAAGAAGAAAAGAGGCGAGCAGCAAAGTACCAGAGGGCAGAGAAAAAGTATGTGGAGTGGGACAAATATGTTTATATTCGTTGTACATTGTAATTTAGTGAACAAATATTCATTTCTACTTAGTCTTTTCATGCATCTATGTGACTAGTTTGTTTATAGTTTTTAGAGTAATTAAGGTATTGAAGCGCGTTGTTTAGGTACTGTAGTTGACCAATAGTTGATTCGTTCTAGGAATAAATAGTTTATTAAAAAATATCTTTGCCAATGCGCGCTCCTTGAATACGACGTGCTTTTTCCTTTTAGGTGATTGATGGTATCGACGTTCGCGGGTTGTACGGATTATACTAACGCAAGATCTTATACCAACAACCACTATAGTGTTCGTTCTTCGAGTACCAAATGGTAAAGCAAAAGACCAGATTTTGTCGTCCAAAGTACGTATTATATTTCGGGACAAAATCGCGGGTAGAGGTGAATGCTTAGCTAGCTAGTAATCGTGCACGCACGTGACACGACGGAGCACCAAATGGCGGGGATGCTTGACCGTAAGCCTTCAGCTAAACAAGTCGACTTAAACAGTGATGGTCAGCATCCAATGTTGAGTGATGATTGCTGTGGTTAATAATTTTGGGGAATTATTTACCGCTACAGCTCACTCCCCCCCTAGTGGGTTTGTGAGGACCCTAAGACATGACCAGCCGGAAGTAAAAAAATCTCGATGGTTCCCTGATGGGTGAAAAAAATCTTCCGAGCGGCTTGATCGAGAGCCTGCTGGTCTGTCTGCCTATGCTAATAGAGTGTCTGTACATAGCTTCCTCGATGTTGTTCGTTGGATCCCGTGCTTCGTTTGTTTCCTGTCCAGTGCCCGTTGCACCTGGCAAAGAAAACAAGAATGCTGAGAACCTTGTCAAGAAAAATGTACCAAATAAGCGTATTTTTACCAAAAAAAATATGACATGCATCTACTATACAGTAAAATAATGTAAAGTGCAAAATATCGGGAAAAAAATATATACATCTAATTTAATTTAATGTACGGTTATAGGAAAAATATCATTTACTTGTGTTAAATGATGCAACATAAAAAAAATTGATGTGTCACTCAGTTATGTGAAATAGGTGTGAAGGTATTCTGGGAATCTAACGTGACGTCCAGAACGCGTTTTCTTAGAGTGATCGACCGAAGTAGCCAGTGGGCGAATGCCTTGACAGTCAATAGTGTGACCCCGAAAATCGAGTGAGTCAACGCCTATTTGACGCTTCTGTATATTGGTGGTAACACCATGTTGGCGTAACCTTTCAAATGCCAAGTCCAAGTGTCTAAGGTGAGTTTCCTTATCTGGACTGGCAATGAGGCAGTCGTCTAAGTATGCGTATACAAAGTCGAGACCGCGAAATACTTCATCGATGAAGCGTTGGAATGTTTGGGCTGCATTCCGGAGGCAAAATGGCATACGTAGGAATTCGAAAAGTCCGAAAGGCGTGATGATAGCCATTTTCGGAATATCTTCCGTTGCCATGGGGATTTGGTTATATGCTTTAACCAAGTCGATTTTGGAGAATATGGATGCTCCAGATAACGTTGCCGTCAAGTCGTGTATGTCAGGCAAAAGGTAGCAATCAGGGGTTGTTTTGGCGTTCACTCGCCGGTAATCACCAGTGGGTCGCCAATCGTTGCTATCCTTTTTCGGTACCATATGCAATGGGGATGCCCATGGACTATTCGATGGCCGAATGATGCCAAGGGTGAGCATATGATCGAATTCTGTTCTGGCAATTCTCAGTTTATCAGGGGCCAGTCGTCGTGCTTTAGATGTCACGGGCTGTCCTGAGGTTATGATGTGGTGCATAACATTGCTGGTTATGCACGGGAGGTCGTTAGATGGGCAATTGAGTTCCGGATATTTGTCAACAATCGGTTGAAAAGATGGATCGAGGATTGCTTTCATCTTAACGATTGACAAGCTTGGGCCTACGTAAGTTATGCCTTTGATAGACAAACTAGTAGTGTTGTCAGTTAATCGTTTACGGCGGACGTCTACGAGCAAATCATGATGATTAAGTAGGTCCGTGCCAATGATGGGCATTGTGACGTCACCAAGAAGGAAAATCCACTGAATAGGTTTGCGTTAACCAACGTTCAGATAGACGTATTTCCGACCATAGGTTGCAATTGGTTTTCCATTTGCAGCCTGTAGGTTGAAGTTAGGATCCTTCTGTCGATCTGCTGCTGTAGCAGGAAGGACGCTGACTTCGGCGCCTGTGTCGACTAGATATCTAGTATGGCTCATTACATCATGGATGTAAAGTAAGCGGCTAGTGCCACCGGCGACGGTTGCCGCTAACGCGTGCCGGTGGGATAGTTTCCAACAGACTTGGAGGCTTTGCCGAAATCACAAGGTTTTCGACAACATTTTGCTTCCTTGCCATAGGTGTTGTGATACCAGCACCAGTCAGGATTTTTGAGAGAGCGTGTGTTGGACTTAGATCGTCCACGTGCGCTTTGCCGTTGAGGGGATTTAGAACGACGGTAGGAAGAATTGCTAGGCTTTTTTGACCTAAGCATCTGCTTGACGGAGTTGCATAACTCTATCATTGCAGAATCCTTCTTCGAAGGCTGTTCGGTAACAGAGTATACTTCAGTATTTGGCCGTTTCGTTATCTCTAGAATTCTATCTACAGAGACAGCTAAATCATCTATGAGAACACCCTGAAGTGTCACAAGTACAGTCTGAACTGACTGTGGCAGTTTGGATAAAAATAGTTCTCTAAACAGTCCTTCATCGAACTGACTTTGGCCAATGATCTCTTTCACTCTTGCCAGCATGCTCACGGCTGACTGATCCGCTAACTCGATGTTACGAAATGACTCATCCAGACGTTGTCGATCCGTGAGAAAGTTTCTCTTGAGGATAGATGCTTTGAGCAACTCGTACGAGTTACTTACCGACATCCGCAGAGTTACGCATCTGCTGAATTCCCGCGGTAGGGCGTGAATAACTGCAAGGAACTGCGGACGTTGATCGGTTATGCCATGTTCACAAAAATCAGACTCAGCAATCTGAAACCACGTTTCAGCATTATCTGGCCAATATGGTACTAGCTGGATTGTTTTGGCGGTTGAGCGAATCCGAATAAACTTGGGGCTAGGATCACTCATGACGAAATGTATGCCGATAACAATATAATACAAGAATAAACACAAAATGGAACGAACTCACTGGGTTTATCTGCGTGTGAATTGAAGATGTAGTTCGTGGTCGGGCTCACCAGTTTAGGTGGTTGCCTGTAGGTATCGACGTTCGCGGGTTGTACGTATTATACTAACGCAAGATCTTATACCAACAACCACTATAGTGTTCGTTCTTCGAGTACCAAATGGTAAAGCAAAAGACCAGATTTTGTCGTCCAAAGTACGTATTATATTTCGGGACAAAATCGCGGGTAGAGGTGAATGCTTAGCTAGCTAGTAATCGTGCACGCACGTGACACGACGGAGCACCAAATGGCGGGGATGCTTGACCGTAAGCCTTCAGCTAAACAAGTCGACTTAAACAGTGATGGTCAGCATCCAATGTTGAGTGATGATTGCTGTGGTTAATAATTTTGGGGAATTATTTACCGCTAAATCCTCTTGTAATGCTATTAAAACTAGCATGATGCCACTAAATGAGTTTTCTATTTTCTCTTTTTCAGAAAGGAACGTGGGCGTGGCCGTATTAGAACAAGAAGACCTTATGTCGAACCTTTTTATAAAGGACGATAATCAGCTTGTAACCGGGCAATTCCAACCCGGCGTGCTGGAAATAAAGACGTTCCTTTTGCACTTTCGTCTTCTTCCTTCACTGGTGGTGCCTGTTGCTTCTGAGTGTCACACTCTCTGACCGGAAAATACTGTAGGGCCAATCGTCAAGCAATGATCTGAAACAGAGAGCAAAGCGCACGTTAGCAAGGTGATCACACAAGTGCCGCGTGCTAGTAAGAACGAAGACTCAAGACTTTAGCAATGTCACTTAAATGTTCATTCACTGTCTTGCTATGTATGATAATATCGTCTAAATATACCAAACACTTACCTGGTATACAATCGCTAAGGACCGTCTGCATGAGACGTTGAAATGTCGCTGGAGCATTCACCAGACCAAATGGCATCGTTTCATATTCATACAGACCTGATTGTACAATAAATGCTGTTTTTTGTCTATCTTCTGGGTGTACTTCTACTTGCCAATATCCAGAAGCTAGATCTAAGGTAGTAAACCAATTCGATCCCCCTAGGGCATCAAATGTGTCGTCTATACGTGGTAAGGGGAAACAGTCTCGCCTAGTTACTTGATTCAACTTACGATAATCCACACACAACCGAAGTGTTCCATTCGATTTCTTAACTAACACTACTGGGGGAGCCCATGGGGATACAGATGGTTTGATGACATTCTTCTCTAACAGTTCATCCACTAACTTATTCAGCTCTTTCTGATAATGTGCAGGTACTCGCCGTGCAGGTTGTCTACACGGTGGGGCGTTACCTGTATCTATGTGGTGTTGGATCAGTTTTGTTCTCCCTGGGTTTTTTCCATCCCAGTCAAAACAGTCTATGTAATTGTCGAGCATCTTATTAAAACTGGCTGTTGTCTCCAAGGGTAAGGTTTCCACCGTAGTTAACATTCTAAGTTTCTCTTTCATAACATGGCCCTGTACGACAAACGTGCCGTGCTCTAAGTTGTTTCCTGGAATGAACGGAATGAAGCTGTCATTCAATATAAGAGTCTTTTGGCACAGCCTATTATCCCGGGCAGCTTTTCTAAGAGGTCAACTCCTAGGATTACTTGCCACGGCACCTGAGTTGACACAACGAAAGCGTGCTGAGGTGACAGTGTCCCTAACTTTAGAGGTAGTAGGACTACTCCCTGGGATTGCATGCAATCTCCGCTGGCTATCATAAGCCGCAACTTGTGATTGTCTATTTTGGGCCTGAAATTTTCTGGCACACATAAGGAATGTATAACGGAGCAATTTGCTCCTGAATCAACTAGCATTACACATAATCTGTTACCTATATACTCTGAAACTTTCGGGGAGGAGGTGGCGCCGATTAGTTTAATAGTCGGTAAACAATTCACATCGACATGTGACTTACTTGAATTGTGCCCACAAGTTCGAGCATGCTTACCAAACTGCCTGCAGTAGTAGCAATTGTTTCTTGAAGCCATTTGTGACTGTGGACGTCCTTTATACTGTTGTCTGGGCTGTTGAGTGTATTGTGGTGTCTTGTGACGGTAGTCCAATGCATTAATTGGTTGTGATGTGGTTCCTGGCTCTTCCAGGCTTTCCAGTAAACGTGCCCTGTTTTCCGCTTCTTCCATGGATGCCGGAGTATGCAAGATGAAGTCTTTCCTGTAATCGAAGTCGACACCTTGCAGGAACTTGCTGGAAACAACTTCTTCGACCTCTGTAAAAAGGCTGTTTTGCATAGCTTGACGAGCAAGCTTGCGTAGCCGTAGTGAAAATTGGTTGACCGCTTCCCCTTGACCTTGCCTGCACTCATTAAGGCGTTTCAATGCTTCTATTTGAGGCACTGGTGGTACTATGCGTGCTCGTAGAGTACTCAAAAGGGTGCCCATTGTCAGATGCACATAGTCCAAACCTATCACGTGCATTTCCAAAGAACGTCCGACACAATCGAGGACAAACGCGTTTGGGTGAGGGACGTTCATCAGATCGACATATCGGTGAACCTTGTCCGACCATAGATCGAAGTCATCACCAACTTCTAATTTATGTGGCATGGGATGGACATAGCGCGATCCAGACTGATTTGATTGGAATGCTCTGGCCATGGCCACAGCTAGTTGATCAACAAGCTCGTTAGATGCTGTCTCCTGGACAGGAGAAGTGGTCTTGGAAGCCTTAATGAGTCGAGACTTAGAAGAAGAGAGTTTTTCCGTTGGCAGGCTCGCCATTTATGTAGGGCCAATCGTCAAGCAATGATCTGAAACAGAGAGCAAAGCGCACGTTAGCAGGGTGATCACACAAGTGCCGCGTGCTAGTAAGAACGAAGACTCAAGGTCAATGAGTTTATTTACAACCAATCACAATACAATTAGGGGAGAGGGGAAGAGCCCTCCTATTGGTCATCCGTTGCGTCGTCTTGGGCGACCAATCCCTGTACGCTACGTGGCCAACCTGAAATTAGATAAACATACAGTTTAAACACTAGAAAACCGCTTACTTACCAGGCCTTACAATACCTATTTTTGAATTTTCCGCTTGGGAAACCTGATCTACCTAGCAGGTGAATTAAATTCAACCATTACTTACATATTCAATCTCTATGTGGTAAGTCCCGCTGTCTCGAACTAGTGCCAAAACTTCAGGTGATATTTTTGTAGCAGCATCTTCCACACTCCTTCAGGTAAACAAGACTTGTTGATCTACCACGTGATTGCTGTGAAGCCGATCATCCAGAAAGTACTAGGTAAAGTCGAAAACCTTTTCATTTCCTTGTCTTCTACTTTTTCAGTCTTATTTTTGTTCTTGCTGGTAGATGCTGTTGCACTCTTATTCTTGTACAGCATAAGTTTTAGTGATGGTTAATATGGCTGTCGAAAGTAACCTTAGAAATGGCACTAAAACACCTTACTCTGTAGTCACAAGGGCTTCAGCCAGAGAAGGCAAAAACGCAGGGACACCAACCCCAAGTCGTATACCCATCCTAAAGACTCGTGTAGGTCTCGTCTGTCCTGATACTACACCTCCACTGCCACAGTCGTCATATGACCTCGAAGGCATCACTAAGTGATAGAGACGAATGCCAGGCGTGCAGTATCATAGTTTCTAAAGCTGACTCAGAGTTTGAATGCAATTTTTGCAAACGTTGGGTGCACTGCCGTTGTGACAAAGAGGTGCCGAAAGCATGCTACGAGTTTATGAGAAATAACCCAGGACCGTGGTTTTGGTACATCTATCCACTTTGTCGCCCTGGCATAGTCCCATAGAGCGTGTCTGCGGATAGCAGAAACAACAAATCGCTCATGTGTCCCAACAAAGTCTTATGCAGCTCACCACCTGCTAACATCACACTGCCGAAACTTGGCTCAGACAGTAAGAAGGACACTCCAGTCCTACTAACTGAAAATGACAATTTTCATAAGGTGAAGATTCAAAAGGTTGGACCTACAAAATCAAGGGAAGAGATAATTAGAAAAGTATCACTTGCATCCACAAGCAAGCTTGGCAACACAACAAACGCTGAACAGAACCTGATGAAGCCTAAAGTTGCTGACGCTGCAAAGGATTCTTGTATTCCTTTGCAGCCAAAGGCCAAACCGAAGTCTGAGGTTAATCGGTATAATTCTCTCATCCTCTTTAACGTACCTGTGAGGAACGACAGCCTGCTTGAACACCGGACCCTGTTTGACCAGGAACAGTGGTCCAACCTGTGCAATAAATTAGGTCTGAAGATTAGTTCAGTGAAATTGTGTAGGCTATACAGGGGTGTCCACACACCTCAAGGTAAGCCGCCCCCATTACGGGTTACATTGGACTCTACCGAAGAGACCGAAAAGATACTGTTGATGGCTCAGGTACTAGCCATCGACAGAAGTTCGAGCATAAGGGTGAGACAAGACACACCATGGGCTATCAGACAAATGGCGAGGGAGTCACCGGAACTTTTGCCTTCTACCTCTATGGTGGTACACGGTGTTCCGGAGCTGGAAACGGGCACTGCCTGTGAAAAACATATGCATGACCTACAGCAGTGGAGATGACTGACATCTCAGATGGCCCTTGGCACTTCTGGAGCAATCTCCATTTCTCGACTACCTCGTTCCGCTCATCTCACACTGATTAGCTCTCCAAAGCTACTAAATGTCACATTCAACTGGCAGGTGCAGTTGGCCATAGCACTACAACGGTGGTACGAGATCAAGGGGGAAATGGGAGGACACATCTGATGCTGCGAAAGCAGACCTCGAACCATAAGGAGGTAGCGAACTGAGGCTTCAATACGTCCCCAAGCTTCAGTGACTCTAGAGCGATGCATTTCTGAGAATAACAGTCTGTGTCACCCAAGTGTCCTGCCTAAATCCATGAGAAAAAACCACAACGGGCTGGTTCCATCGGAACTGGACAACTAGTCCCAACATTAAGTCCCCTACCAGCAGACAGCTTCACGTCAACTACCCCACAACACGCTGAGGTTTTGAGACTCACTGCCAGCTGCCTATATAGCAATGTGAGGGGGCTGAGAGGAAAAATAGGTGAACTTTAAAATCTCCAAGCACACCTACATGGCTAACCCCCACTATCGCCGATAATGAAATCAGTATAGGTGATATGAATTTGGTCAGGAGAGACAGGGATAATAAGGAGGGAGGGAGAGTTGCTATACACTTTGATAGGCAACTTGAATGTTTGCGCGTAACGGACCCACCACTTATTGAACTCCCAGACTCCATATGGTGTCATTTCACTGTAGGCCACACCAAGCATTTACTTGGTGGCATCTACCGATCTCGCACCTGTGTGGCAGAGCAAAATCAGCTGCTGATCAGCACTATCACAGGAATACGAAACTTGGGCTATGACCAATTCACCATTGCTGGAGATTTCAATGCCCCCTCACTGAACTTTGGCTCGGGGTATGCTTAGGAAAATTTTGTCAAAATCTACTGCAAGCTATTCGGAACACAGGACTGACTGAAAAAAGTTGGAGACGACACTAGGTGAGGCCATAGTGGAAAGTCATCAAAACTAGATTACATTCTAACTAGTGACCAACTACTTGTCGAAAAGGTCCAGATCATGACTCCTCTAGGAAGTAGTGACCATGCAGTCGTAGGTTTCGATCTCGTTCTCCGTGAGCATTTGCAATGGGACTTTACGCAACCATGTCTGTGTTACAGCAAGGCTAACCATGCTGAAACGCGGAGGCTCTTGTCCGACACAGTCTGGCCCTTAGCATGGGATGAGCTGTCTGTGGATGAACACTGGGAAGCGGTAAAAAAGATTATTCATACAGTAATCTCGGATACCGTCCCTTTAGTCACAACACAGCCTAAAAGAAAATCATCATGGTTAAAGAGAGGCACGCAGCGTATTCTGCAAGCAAAGCAGAAGGCTTGGTTTACGTGGCGCCTATCTAAGAGTCAGATCGACCATGATGCATACCTGGAACTCAGGAACCGGTGCAATGCAAGAGTCAGGAGGAACAGGAGATCATTCCATGCTAACCTTGCTAAAAAACTCCTGGCAAACCCGAAGAATTTGTACCGATTCGTGTCGAAAAGAAAACCAACCAACCAGGGGGTATGCGCCTTAATAGGCCAAAACGGTCAATATCTCACTAGCCTGGAGATGGCTGAAACATTCAACGTAGCCTTCACCAAACAGCTAAACATCAATGTGGGTACTACCGTTGTGGTGAGAGCTGTCTACTAGCCAAGTGGTGGGCAGTAATTGAGGTCAATATTTATGTATCAAATATTAGTCATGTTGTGGTGAGAGATGGTTGCTGGCCAAATTGGTTGACAGCAATTGAGGTCAAAGGTCAAGGTGGACAGGCGGATACAGTTAACATATAGATGAACTGACACAGCCACAAGAGATGCAAGGTTAACTTTGTGTGAGAAACAACCAATCTACAGACTGTATTTTCTACTAACATTGACCTACAATAATGT